TCATGATGATCCAACAAAAATAAATAAAATAAAACTGATGACTATTTTGGCTTCAATTTGCAAAATGTTTGCATTAAAAAAAAAAACAAATATCCTAAAAAGCAATGAAAGGTATCAGAGGAATACACGGCATTATCAGATAATAGAACTGATGTACTATTTACATGAACTCTGTTGAGCTGAAAAAAAAAAAAAAAAATTCCAGGAAGCTTTTAGAGCCAAGAGATAAGAAAGATAATGTTATATCTAACTATCTTTCGAATTAATACAGACAAGATTAAAAGATTATAAAGAAAATTTCAGTTTTCAATTACAAAATATATTCATTTATATTTTTTTTTAATGATACTAGGTCATACTATGAAACCAAAATAGATTTCAAATAAAATACATTTGGTAGCCAAAATATTAATAAAGCAGGTAAATTACTACAAAAGAAAACATTTTAGATACCGACAAAAAAAAAAAAAAAAAAAAAAAAAAAAATCACAGTAGTTCTAAGATAGGAAAAGTTTTATGAAAAACCTCATCAAAATTGGCTTGTTATCTGGGAATGTACACACCAAATTCAACACAGGTTTAATGACAGATTTTCTATAATAATAAATTGAAAAGGGATCATGGAATGGGCAATGAGCTTTGTCTTGAGGGCAGAGATGCTGAAAATACAAATGACTTGTTATTATGGTTGAAAGTTCTTTATTTTGATAGGGGGGGGGTCAGAGCTGAACAACGACCGACATCTCCTTGGTTAAATAAAAGAACCAATTTCATTTGACCAGCTCCACTCCACATCAAAAAGGTAAGAAAGCTTTAACAACCATTATGTAATGAAGCCTTTTAATCAGAGAAAAATCTCTTCTTACTGAAAGATATATTCTATTACTTGCTCTAGATTCATATGTTAAACAAATTTTCATAATTAAAGCCATATAATTCTAATGCATACTTAAATCAGTTGACTAGATTATATACCTTGAAGTATCCCTTTGAACACACACCACTAGGATCTTCTGAGATCAAGACAGTCTGCTTTATATATTACATTATCAGTAATGAAATACCAATTTATCAGCCAGAAAACAGCGATTAGGAAACGAAAATGACAGATATACAATCAGGAATGTATTAAGATAAACAAATGTAGATATTTTGCTGAATATTATAAATTAAGCAGAATTTATATATATTTTGTGAAGTGCTTACCAGTTGTGGCTCTTGACATGGAAAAAATATTTAGGAGACTTAAGCATGAAAAAAAAAATGGAATTATGGGTAGCAGTCAGGAATGATAAAAAAGGAAGAAGAAAGCACATTTTTTTTTCTAAGCAGGTGTGTGACTGAAATGGCTATTGAGGGCAGTTAAAGTGAGGAAGGTGAGAAGAAAAGAATAGAGTTTTATGAAGTGAAAAGGATCTTTGGCAATAACCAGTTGTATGGTTTCAGTGATTGAGGACAGGAAGAAAGCATTTTCTGCCTCTGAAATTAGGGTTTCAGCCCAGTTTACACATTTGAAAACTTCAGAATTTTCATACAAAAGTAAAACAAAAATAGAAGAAATTGTGATGATAGATAAAACTAACCTAAAATTTAATTAAAACGTTACTCATTTGTTTTTATAAATCATCTCAGATAATCTAATATCAGATTCAGAGTGTAAATAACTAGTTATGTATTTAGGTAATTCACTACAGATAAGAATAATATAAAGAAAGAAACAGATTTTACAAGCACCAAGTTTAGAGCTTCAAAAACTGGTAGCTAAATTCCTTAAAGATTGAACAAGATAAATTCTAAGAAATAAATCCAAATTCAAGAAGGCAGAAGAGATTTCCACAGGCAAGAAGTGTGAGAAGAAACTAAAATAGTACAGTTACATCTAGTTATTTCAACAGTATAATGATGAGACCCAACTACTAATATAGTACTATATTTAAATTCATGAAGTCAAGGTAGCATAGAGTAAAGCTTATCAGAAAAATTACCAAATTTCTAGAAAAGGCAGGTACATTATGGCTGTAAGAAAAATGACTGAAAATGAGATGTCAGGTCAGGACTGATAATACTGCAAATCCTTCTTTGGATTTTGTCAAGAATCTCTGGATACATAAAAGCACCAGACTAGATGTGATAACAATATTCAATTGTGATGATTTAAGTAGATATTCATGAGTCTGTACAAATATATATATATATATATTTTTTTACTTCAAAAGAATCCTTGTTTTTCAATAAGCTTTAACCAATTTTCATAACAGTCTATTGTTCATATGTGTCAATATAAATTCTTAATTTTGTTTTAAAAGTAGTGTTCACATCAATAGAGTATTTTATTTGTCAAAATCTCTTAATATTGTTGATATTTTTCATATAATTATGTAAACTCTCCTGATACCAATTTCCAAATTAGCAGAAAGCAGAAATTATCTCAAAACATTATAAAATAATTATCTTGAATTCAACAAAGATTACAAAGAATAAAATGGTTCCTTTTAGGCCAGATAGAAGAGTAATTAACCTTCATCTCAGTTCTTTGCAGAAGTATAAAAAAAGCAGTAATAAAGACAGTTTTAGTATCATCTAACAGTGATTTTGTGTCTATAGGTGATATTTTTTGCAATTTCATTGAAACTGACCAGTTAAAAAAATGACCAGTTTTTAAATATTTGATTACATTTTCTGTAGTAGAGGAACTCTTTGAATACATTTTTTTTCATTTTAGAAATAAAGAGAAAAAAATTCTTATTCATATACATAAAATGCAGTGAGTGTTTGGCCATCTTTATGCATTAATTTTATCTGACGACATACTGGAAATAGAATTTTCTGTTATTTCAAAGTTGATGAATAAAATACTGCTATTTATGTTTTAAATTATTTTCAGCTTCCTTATTTATGTACTAATTCTTCCTGACACTGAAATGCATAATGAAATTGGACAGCAGTCCCAGGGTGCACCATACATAACTAATATCCATTTAACTGTAATTGTGTTGTAGTTTAAACTTAAATAGTGCCATCAGGTTTTGATGCCATAGGTAATAATTTATTATAACAGTAATACTGAAAAAAAAAAAAAAAAAAAAAAAAAAAATTATGATGGAACATGATTATGAAATTCCAGTCATAGGAAAAATACTTCATTTTTATTTTGTCCTTCAATATTGGTTTTCTGTTTTTTATACAAGTGTTCACTCAATACAAGGCCAAGAGCCATTCAAGGTAGAGGGTTATTAAATAATGATGTTATAAGGGCATAAAAAGGGAGCAAGTGGTGCATATTTTTATATATATATATATATATATATATATATATATGACAGATAACAGTTAACTTGAAGAGGTTAAGATTGTAGTGATTGGGGAAGCATCCTTTCAGGAGTCTATTCCACAAGGTAACAGTTCTTAAGTTGAACTTCCTCCTTACCAATGGAATATAAAGGGAATAAGGATGAGCTGATTCATTGTACATGGCCTGCTTCAGTTTTATAGCTAGACATTCTTGATAAAATTCAAAAAAGAATTAGCAATGTTATTGGCACTGACCTGACATCTCAGTTTCAGTCACTTTTCCAACATCATAATGTAGCTTCCCTTTACCACGTTATATATATATATATATATATATATATATATATGCAAACTGGGAAGTATTTGAGGGCATAAGAAAGAATGAAATCATGACACAGAATTGATAAAGGAAATTATATAATAACAAGAAAACCTGAACCTCTTGAAAAGTTACTTAGGAGAGAGGCGTTAAAGGAGTGAACAAATATTGAATTTTGTGATTAAGAAAATGTGAAATAAAAGTAATACTCGCAGAAATAAACAAGTGAAGAAATAAAAAATGTGCAAGATACATAAACATATCTATCATTTATGATAGAGAAATATTCCCCATTGGGCAACGTGATAGAATGTAGAAGACATCTTTAAGTCTCTTTTATGTCAAAAATTAGATTCACTTTTATATAGGATTTCTTGCCAATGTCACTTTTGGTTTTCTTCATCATGCAAGCATGATAAAATTAAAAGGAACACTGCTTTTTTTTTTTTTAACCGTTTATAAACCCTTTGTGGATTATTTTAAAGCCAAAACTAGTTGTAAGGACAATTTTTTTTTTTTTTTTAGAATGATAATTTTTCCAGATACAAGTTCTACTACAAAGAAAGGAGAGAGAACTTTAATTTGAATATCCAACTTGGAAGTTAAGCATATTTCTATTGAATTATTTCAGTAAAATTAACTTAGGAATACTACCTTGGGTTTTCTACTATTTTCTTTTTAATTTTTGTAATTATTTCTATTTTATTTATTTATTTATTTTTTTTTAGAAACATGGAAAAAGAGTACTGAAGTGTTATGAAATATTTGTCCCCCAATATGGCAATGAATGCTGGACAATTTCTTCACAAATGAAGAGGAGACATGAGACAACGAAAATGTGGAAGGAAAGTTTGGAGAATATAACACTCACAGGACATATTGAAGGCAAAAGGGACAGAGAAAAACAGCAAATTACCTATGTAACAAGATTGAAAATGGATGCCAAAATGGGGACTGGGAGTGACAGTAAAAAATATATTGCCAACTATATTTAACAGTTTCTTAGAAATTTTATTACATTTTAGCAAGACAGCCATGTGAATGTTTTTGTTTTTTTTATATATAAGCTGAGAAGATTCCTATTCTAATCAAAAGTTTATTAATGAAAAGAAATATCTTATAGAAAGGTGTATCCATTAATTTAAAAAAAAATTTTTTCACGATATTTGACATCAACAAATACTTAGAATTGACATTTTATGATTGCTTTTTTATGGATTCTCAACCTTTTGCAGGTTATTTAAGGCATAACCGGGAGGGGGGTGGATTCATGCCTTTCCCAGAGGTATTTGCATGTAAGTAAATATAAAAAACCTGACTGGAATTGGAACTTGGCTCTCTAATTTCCATTTGTGAACCATTATCCATTACACTTACTTGCACATGCAAGCTTACAGTACCTGATAGTCCCAAGCAGTCACCCATTTAGGTATTGACCAGACTCAAAGATGCTTAACTTTGGTGATCAGATGAGAACCAGTGTTTCAATGTGATTTTATATCTAATAAAGATTTATTCTCTAGCAATTACTATTACTCCAGGGCATGGGAACTACAATATCAGTGAAAGTGTTTTCAGACAATAAAAAAAAAAAAAAAAAAAATGGCTGCAGGGATAGAAGGGCCACTTAAAAAAAAAAAAAAATCAAAAGCAGAGCAGCCCAAAGAAAGCCACCTTCTCAAATCCAGACAATGTGCAGCAGAAAATTAAATGGCCAACTAATACTGTGGATAGAGTGTTGAACTTTCAGTTTTTAATCCTCATCTGCTGAATTAATATAAATGTATAGATTGGCTGCCTAACAGTTTTATTTGAACTGCCTGCAGCCCATTATCAAATGACAACTTTTCAGTTATGCTGTTAGAGTGGTTGTGAGGGTTGTTTTTGTGCCAAAGGTTCTGGATGAAGAGAGAATATCTGAGAAAATGTTTCTCATCATACCAGAGTAAATTTTTCCTGATATTTGCCAATGATTATTTGTGCAAAATCAATACTTTTTCTGAAATAGATCCATGCTATGGCAAAAAAAAAAAAAAAAAAAAAAAAAAAGAAAAAAAATCCAAGTTCTTGAATTGTTTTAAAAGATGATTGTTTGAAAATGGAGTTATCTACTTTTGTTATGCCTATGTCTTGAATCGGCTGAAAATGACCATGTAAACTGCTTTCTCCACCCTTATATGAGGTGCTTAAAAGTTCTTGGCCCAAACAAAAGGATATTAAACAAATTGTTGGTTACTTTAGTTGGTTCTCTTTTAGACAGGTATCTTGACAGCAATTTTTCAATCATATCAACAGACAGCTCACTGAAGAGCATAGTTACGGTAAAATAATTCTACCAGACAAATAAGTCAAATTGAAACTACTGATAACATTTTGAATTTTTGGCAGGTTCCTTTGTTATTTTAAAAAAATATGGAAGAAAGCTGGGCAAATATATGAGATGACTGAAATCCTGGTACATTAATGCTTCAAATAAGGAAATAGAGTGACTTCATAAGTATTAATGCATCAACATCAGTGCTGAAAAGTTCTTCACCCAACCAAGAAAGTAATGTAATGTAATATATATATATATATATATATATATATATATATATATATATATATATATATATATATATATATATATAAAATGATGTTTGGTCAGATTTTATGAAGTTGGTCATGCTGAAAATTTTCAGCACCATCTAGCATGAAGAGAGTTCAAATAAACACATATCAATAAAATTACTGGTGGTGTGATTAAGATACAGGTTTCATCACCCTGCTTCAGCTCACTTGGTTTTCTGGCAGCTGTCTAGTGTTCAAAAGCCAATAATTAACTAAGGCCAAGTGACCCTTTCCCCAGACAACAACCACATCCACTGCATTAAATCTAAGAGGATTAGAGGGTTGGTACATCCGGATATGTCTATAACAAAAGCTGATAAAACAAGACAATTTGTGGCTGACCCACCATAAGACATAACCTTGGGTCAGGTACCATATCAGAAGGGTATATATAGTTTTCCCATAGAAACATGTTACATTCCCTATATGGGGTGGTGAACAAATTTCAGTTTGTTTCAACCCACCCTAGAAGTGGACAACTTTTTTTGTTTAACTACCTTAGTAACACTAAAGGAAAAGGGAAACAAAAAGGACACTTATATTTAGAATCAGAAAGAGGCAGTTGAAATTTCTAGGACACATAATGAGGAAAGAGGGCTTGGAGAATTTGATACTCACAGGACATAGTGAAGTCAAGAAGGGCAGAGGGGAAACTGTAAGCAAGCTAACACATTTGTGTAAATGCAAATCAGAACAGAGAGTGGGGGGAATGGTGAAAAAACCCTTACTAAGAGCTACAAAGGATAGGAAGTTGCAGAGAGCCATGACCACTAGTGTCCTGAAGGGACATAGATGATGATGTATATTGAATCTCCTTTTCTGATCTAATTTTTAAAACTAATTCTACTGGATGTTTCTCTAAGATAAGCCTTACTAAATAGTTATAAACCTTAGTTATTTTTAATGATTCCTATTCAAACCAATCTGTTTGACTTTTATGCTAGAGCCAAACATTTGATCTATTAATATAAATAATTAAATTTATTACACAGACTTGGAAGTCGACTCAAAGATGATTTTCTGCATAATTTCTTGTTACTCCCAAGAATAAAGCCTCACACACAGAAAATGGTGCTTCAGGGAGAATACATGAGGTTTGTAACATTTTAAAAGGATGAATCCTTAAGATGATTAAAAAAAAAATAAAATTATCCAAACACAGGCTTGATTTTCTTTCCTAATAACATGGAAAACTACTGAGATATAAAACAAGACTTTTCCCACCTCCTCTCTCAGGCAAGTATGAATATGTTAAGACACATTTACATTTTTTCTCATCTAGAAAAATAGAAATGTGTGTGTGTGTGTATATATATATATATATATATATATATATGTGTGTGTGTGTGTGTGTTGTGCAAAAGTAAGTGCACCCCTAAGATAATATTAAAGAAATTGTCTCTTTCCCAGATAATCAACAAACCTTAATTAAACTATATATTAATTAAGAAAAACCTTTATTAGATGAATTACAACCACTTTCAAAGATTTTTATGAAGCTGGAATAAGAATATTAATTAAAAATTAAGATGTGCAAAAATAAGTGAATCCTTACATTTAAACAATGTACTTTTGTTTTACATGGTTGCCAATACAAATAATTTTTTGTGTATATTAAAAATCAAAATGATAAGTGTTCGTTTTTTTTTTTTTTGGTAAGCTGTGTATACTTCAGTCAATCAATATAACTCATTGTGTATACATAAGGGCATAGTTATAGACTAATATTTAAAAAAAAAAAAAAACTTGCCAAGATCAAAAGAACTTCCTGAAGATTTAAAAAATCTTATAGTTGAAGCCTATAATGATGGAGAAGGCTACAAAAAGCTATCAAAACAATTTGGAATGCATGTTTCTGGTAAAATCATTTATAAATGGAAGGACTTTGGTATGATGGCATCACAATCAAGAAGTGGCCATCCATAAAAAATAACTGCAAGAACAAGTTGACATCTAGTGCAGCAAGTCCAGGCAAATCCTGCTGTGACCTATACAGTTATCCAAGGCTCACTGGCCAATATCAGAATCAATGTGCATTCATCTACAGTGCAATGAAATCTGAATGATGGCAGTCTTCATGGCAGAATGCCTAGTAAAATGTTACTGCTTACAAAATAGCACAAAGCTTCGTTCAACTAGGCTAAAGCTCATTAATAAGCTAGAAACATTCTGACAAAAGGTTTTATGATTGGATGAGATAAAACTAGAGCTTTTTGGATAGACAATAGGCTGTATATCAGGCAAGCTCCTAATATGGCTTTTGAAGTAAAGAATTTGGTGTCAATAGTTAAACATGGTTACAACAGTATGAGGATTTGGGAGTACTTTGCTGCATCTGAAACAGGCCAAATATTGATTGCACAATGGACTGCAAGATACCAAGCAATTTTGAATGAAAGTATCTTGCCCTCAGTTCAAAAGTTAGGTTTAGGTCAAAGAATGAGTTTGAATAAAGAAATTTTAAGTCTTGGAATGGAATTGTCAAAGTCCTGATCTAAACCCAATTGAAAATGTGTGGTTCAAATTAAAGGCAGTATATGCAAGAATCCCAGGTAATATCGCACAATTATGGGAATTTTGCCAAGAAGAATGGTTAAAAATTGATGTTTCATATTGCCAGAAACTTCTTACAAATTATAGAAAAAGACTGGTTGGCATTGTGACCTCATAAGGAGTCACCAAATATTAAATGTAAGGAGGTTCACTTACTTTTGCACATCTTAGTTTTTAATTTTTAATTAATATTCTTATTCCAGCTTGGTAAAAATTTTTGCAAGTGGCTGTAATTCATTTAATAAAAGGTTTTTCTTAATAAATATATAGCTTAATTAAGATTTATTGATTATCTGGGAAAAAGAGAGAAATTTTTTAATATTATCTTAGGGGTTCACTTATTTTTGCACAACACACACACCCACATATGCATGTGTGTGTTAATATATGTGTTTATGTGTGAGTGTGAATATATGTGTATATGTATGTGCAAGTTCTTGCACACTCTCTACATGTTTAATTCTATAACAGTTTACTACAATTTCTTTTGCTATCATTGGGTACAAAATAGAATCTGCTCCTAGCTACAATGTTCGTTATTAAACAATTGTACATTTTCATCACAAGTTATACATACGCACACATACATACATACATACATAGAATTATGCACTAACAGTATATGAATTATAAAAATGGTACATAAGCATATTATTGAAAATTTTGGTTACCAAGCTATTATCATTTACTGTTAATGTTCTCTGCAAAAAAATAAATTTTCTTTTAATTTGTTCGATGTTGATAAAGTATTTCATTTGGCAATTCAATGTTGACAAAGATAAAAAAATTTGAACTTAATTTTCCCCTAACTATATAATTTCATTCTATGTGCAATTTTATCCAAGAGAATTGAGGTCAGACTTGAAAGCATGTGTCTGAAACTAACAAAAAAACACATTGCTCACAAACCAGAAAATTCACACACACACACACACTTAAATAGTATATTTAAACAGTAATCCTTCATTTGAACACATTTTATTAAATAGAATGGACAAGATACACACTCACATGCAGATCATGTGAGGAGTGAATTTTGAATACACATATAGTCATTTTTAAAGAATTAATGAATTTGTTTTCAATTTGACATTTTTTTGCTTCAAATGTTATTTTTAGTGGATATTCATATTTGAAATTTCTGATGAACATTCCTCTATCATACCTTGACTTTATGAATTTAAGTGCAGTACTAGATTGGCAGTAACAGTTCATCATTTTAAAGTTGAAATAGCTAGATGTAACTAAGTTCTATGCTAACAATTTCTTTTCCCACACTTCTCACTTGTGGAACTCTCCTGGTTTCTTGCTTTCCAGTCAACTTTG